CGGCGCCCCGGCGGCCGCGGTCTGGGGCCCGCCCCCCCCCGCCGGCCGGGAAATGTAGTGCGGGAGGCCGGAGGCGCACCGCCCCTGGCGCGCGGGGCACGCTGGGAGTTGTAGTTCTGCGGGGCGGGCTGCCTGGGAGTTGTAGTTTCCAGGCGGCGGCCGGAGCGGGGCGGGTTCTGCCCGTCGCGTAGCAACGAGGAGGCGGGCGCCTCAGGGCGCAGCGGCCATTTTGAGGCCCTCAGGCAGGTCCTGCGCGCAGCCCTCAGCGTCTTGCCCCGGAGCGGTCCTCTCTCCAGGGGCACCCACCAGAAATGGCGTCTCCGCATAAATAAATCCGCCCCAATTCCTTTTTTTATCAGGACTTGTGCTGCTTCTCTCCTGTCCTCGCTGACCTGTGCCTCCTGAGGCAAACCCACCTGAAGGAGATCAGTGGTGTCACCCAGACGCTGTCTGCCCAGCAGGCCAGGGAGAGCAGACACCGCGGCCGCTGCTGGAAAACCAGCAGAAAAGGGGAAAAGGAAAATGCCTGCTGCTATCGTAATGCTGCAAGGACATGGGCAGGGCAGTGTCTGGATGCAAGACCCGGGGTTGTGCAAAGCTGAATCGACCTTTAATGAAGAATGTATCATCAGCTACTTATGTGATGTAAGCTCATCACACTGGGAGTCTTTTTTATTTTTCCTGTGTTTGTAGCCCCCAGCACACTTTGGCCAGCCAGATCAGCCGTACCAGGCCTACACAAAGAGCAGCTGAATAACTCCAGCAGACAAGTAACCATTTTGTTGCCAGTGACCTTTAATATCACGAAGCACGTTTCTCTCTCCATCCCAGAGATGAAGTGGCTGATAGTCACTGGCTTTTCCAGTTTTCTGCAGCAACTAGCCACTGGTTTCGTTCTTGGTAACTGAGTCATTATCAGAAGTTTGCTGTGGAAGAGGTTTTTGTTGGTTTTTTTTTTCTTCTTTGTGAAACGCAATTAATGAAAGAAGACTTAACAAATAATGGAAGCATTCCGAAGTCCAGTATATTTTTCTGGTTTTAATCAAAATAGATTTAATACAACTTTGCAGCTTTTAGCTGGGAAGTTTTGTTAAGAAAAAAATGCAAACAACCCCAATTCAAATGATATTTTTAAAATACATTTCCCTTTAACTCTCAGAAATAATGTAACATGGGTACTTTACCAATGCTCTACAGCAGATGAATTTAAAGGCAAGAATAGTACCGCCCTGTGTCATCTGACTGCTGCTTATGTGGCTTTGCTTTCACTTGCAAGGCATAGCTTTTCCCTAGTTTAGCAATTATCAGTGGTGTCCAGGCTGCTGTCGATAATAATGCTACACAACACAGGAATGATAGAAACTCTGATGAAGGAGGTGTAAAAGAAAATAGAACTTCACGTCTGCAAATCGATTCTGCAGTTTTCCAATTTCCCCATTCAGCAGTGGCACAGCCTGTGAAATTGTCCCTAGAAATATAAAACGAAGGGAAGGAGAATACCTCCACTCTTACCTTTTAGCAGATGACATTGCCTGATACAGTTCATTTCCTTTGGTGCGGACACTTAGGCCAGGCTAGATTAGTGTTCAAAATGCAGAAGCGAAATGGAGAATGTTTTTTAATATAGATAGCACATGAAACCGGTACTTTGGAGCGCAAGCTTTTCTTGAAATAGCTTACCTTTGTAAGGTTTTTGGTGAAGCAAGTAAATTGCCATACAAACAGGTTTAAATACCCTTTAAGAGGCATTGATATCAGTGCTTTCTCATAGTCTGAAGTTTTTCTCAAGTGTAATATGCTATCACCTGCTCCCCTCTCTGGAAACCTTCATGAGCCCTCCCTAGGACTCAGAAGGTTCAGCCCAGTGTAGCACTCCCATGGAAGTCCAGGGACCTGGCTTTTTCACCCAGCTCTGCATATTATTTGCTGGATCTCTCAGGTGCAAAACGAGAAGCACGTTGCCTGTGCAAGTTGCTCTGAAATCCGTGGCAGTCACCTAGCATGTTAAAGCTAGGTATTATAAATGGCATTTGCATTACGCACAAATATTAGAACCAGTTCTTTCAGAAATTACAAGATGCTCAATGAGTTCCAGCTCCCTTTCCTTCTGCTGCATCCTTTTCTTTCTCTCTTCTGTTGTTTTGCCTGGGAAGCATTATTTGAGCGTAGAACTAAAAGTCAGAAAATTGGGTTCTTGGCTTGGTGCTGACACTAATTTACTGCATGCTGTTGATCAAATAATTTGATTTCATGGATTTTGGCTTCCCAGGAGACAATGGGGAGCTGTGAAGCCCTTAGAGATATATTGATATAAATTCCTTTATCAGTATTATAATAATTTTTGGTAGTGTAGTTTTGTTGGTGTGGGTTTTTTTAATTCCTCTGGTCAGCAATGCACCAAAACTGATGATACCATTTTAAAATTTTGCAAGAATCCAACATGTCCTGGTTATTGAGGGACTGGGATGCTTTCACTTTAATTTCACACCTAATTTATCATTCCTGCAGATACAGCTTGAAAACATACAGCTGAAAACA